GGACCCCCTGTTGAAGACCCTCGAATTAGAGAATGCATTTAAAAAAAAATTGGTCTAGTTTTTCCAGGTATTATCTAATCCTAGCCCAAATCAAAAGCATTGAACTTTGATCACAATTTTAGTTGACATGTTTTCAAATTTGCTTATAGTTTTGATCGGGTTATTATTCGCTAGGTATTCAGCTTTCTCTATTGCAGAGATTGGCTGATCAAATTATTGACTGATTACTGGTGTGGTACTTTTTGAAATTATCTGATCTGCTTAGGGCTGGGAATTTGTAAGATTTTCAGGATTCTGATCCCCTTATCTATTCTGTGAAACGATTCGATTCTCTTATGGATTCCGCTTAATGAAAAAGCATTACTGTACAATTTCTGGAAAAAAAACCCATCTCCACCTGATTTAAATAAATGAGCATCTCCTTTATCTCGCTCCCTGAACTGCAGAGCAACTTCGTAGTGTGTTTCGTTACATTCATTGAAATAGCTAGAATCATGTAAGAATCACAGCTACCAGTAGTTCTAATTAAATATGCTAGCAATGAAGGGCTGGATTAACGAAAAAAGGCACACTCCCTTAATAACCCCACAGAGGTAGGAAATGCTTTATTTCCAGAAATGACATATGATTTACTAGGAACCACATTAAGCACAGCCAGTGATATAAAACTAGCTCCTTACCACCAGAGTTTCCTTCCATGCTGGTCGTAACTTAAGCTTCTGTCTGGAAGGCATCAAAAACACTGCATTCATTAAAATGTATGCCGTGTTGTGCGCGCAGGTGTTTCTGCATGTTGAATGTATTTTCTCCCGTGGATGTAATTGCCACTTTGCAATGATTGCAAAGCGCCTTGTTGCCACCTTTCTCTTCCTTAAAATAAAGCCAAACTTTCGATCGCTTTACCCAATGGGGCGTCCTTTTTTTTTTTGTTTTGCTCTTCTAGACTTAAGCCTGGTCATGTCGTACTTGCTTACTGAATGCCGTGCGTAACTTGCGTAAAAAGCGGCGTGCTGCCCAGCGTTAAGGGAACCGTTAAGCGAGCTGCCAAAAGGTGCCACGGAATTGGAACACACAGAACCGGTTCTAAACAGGAACCGGTTTTAGATTCCTATCCCTAGACCTGCTGATGACTATTTCAGCCGCCTTAGCTCAGTGTGTGCACATTTATATTAGAAGGGTTGATTTCTCGATGTTTTAAGAATAAGTCTTCGTATGCATTTCATTGAGAGTGCAGACCTCTGCCCTAAAGGCTGATGCATGTTAGATTATTTCCTTTCTGCCACAGCCTTAAGAAGATGATGATTTCATGTTATTTTTGCAGAGCTATCAACATTAACACGCACTGCTTCACTCCCATTATGTGCAATCTTCTTGTCACGGTTAGTAAGACAAAAAGCTTGATCCATTCCTGTGACATTGTATCAGAGAGGAAATATAAGATATAGTGGATATATTGCTGGAATAATCTGGCTCAGGTTAACAGCATGTAATAACTTCCATCAGATGACTGAAATAATTTAGTTGTATGAGGATTTAATTGGTTTTTAGCACATGGGGCAAATCTATAGTTTGGAATTGTATTATTTCAGTTTTTAAATATGTTCTTAAATTATGTGTCCCTTTTTAGACTGGAATACTCTGGTTGTCGGGAAGCTCTCTCAGTGGATCGATGCAGATTCAGAAATCGAGACGAATCGCAGGAATTCAGAAGCTGTAAGTTCCTCAATCTCGGCAGAATTTTTGAAAATCTTTTCCTCTAAAGCCGTTGTCATCCTTCTCTCATATCTTTGCTGAACTTGAATCCTGGCTTTTATGTCAAAAATCTTCACTTTATACCCTTAATCTTTTCCTTCTCTGTGTTTCTCTCCAGGCTCTGGCACAGGAGCTGAACTTTTCAGCCTACCTGGGGCTCCCTGTCTTCATGATCCCTCTAAAGGGTCCCAATAATGCCAATCTAGCTCGAATGCTGCTGAACCACATCCACACTGGACACCACACCTCGAACGTAAGAAACGGCACCAGGGAGACCGTCAGACGCCTGTAATTGGATTTGATGTATTAGTCCTGAGCTCCTGATTTAACCCCAGCTAATGTTTGCGTTCATTAGTTCTGGATAAGAGTCCCGTTGTTGGCACCGGAAGACACGCGGGAGGATCTGATTGAGAACGAACCCTCACCCTGTGTTGATGAGACGAGTGTGGATGAGAAAACCTGGATCTGGTTGGTTTTTTTTCTTCCACTTCCTCTTTATCTGACTTCAGATTTAATCTTCTAAAAACTGTCTCAGTTCCTTTATCTTTCTTTGTTCTGTAGGTGGCACTCATTCAGGACTCTGTGCGATTACAACAAGAGGGTCTGTCTTGGTGAGAGAACACACCAGAAAGCAACAATTTAAGGCTTTAAAGATGATTCAGATCCTTTCTTCATCTGAGAATGTTCTGCTTTTCTATTCCTGCAGCTATTGAAGTTGGAGCAGACATGCCTTCAGACGCTGTGATCGATAAGTGGCTCGGAGAGCCGATCAAAGCAGCAGTACTTCCAACAAGCATCTTCCTAACTAATAAGAAAGGATTTCCTGTTTTGTCGAAAGCTCATCAGAGGATAATCTTCCGGCTTTTTAAGGTCTGATATAACTGCCAGTCGCTTGGTTGAGCAGCCTCATCTCAAAGTTTCTTTCAATTAAAGAAAAAAAAAAAAAATTTCCTTCCAGCTAGAGGCTCAGTTCATCTTCACGGGCACCAGTCGGCACACTGAGAAGGACTTCAGGTCCTACCTGCAATACCTGGAATACCTCAACCAGAACAGGCCTGCGCCTAACGCCTATGAGCTCTTTGCCAAAGGATATGAAGACTACCTGCAGTCACCTCTCCAGGTCATTAACTCTGATTTATCCTTCATTTTGTATTGATTAATGTTGTTAATAAACTTTTTGATCAGTTGCTAAAGCCCCTTTTTCTATCCCTCATTAGCCCCTCATGGACAACCTGGAGTCTCAGACCTATGAAGTGTTCGAGAAGGATCCCATTAAATATTCTCAGTACCAACAGGTGAGGCAGCGGTCACAGTTGGATTAATAAACTGCTTTTCTCCAAGGATTCAGAAAACTGAGCAGCTTTTGTCCAATAGCCAAAAATATTAAATCTAATAGACGTAACTTTTTTAAAATTTAAGTTAATTGAGCAAAAATTTTATCTTTGAGAAAAAAGGAAATTTGTTTAGATGATTCAAGACTTCATTTTCTTTTTGGATTCATTGTAGCTGAAACCTCTTGGATTCTTTTCTTTTTAACTCAAACTGTCTTTTATCGCTGTTTTGATGCTGGTTTAAATTACATTTTCGCTCTGTGTCGACAGCAAACCACCACAGTAGGCATGGCTAATATTAGGGATGTCCTGAGCCGATATATATATATATCGGTCCAATATTATTTAAAAAACTGATATTGGATTTTATCGGCCAAAAATCTTAGATATTTCCTGCTGATGGAAACCCTTTTTCTCTGTTAAGTTTCTCGAACTCAATTGTTAATTTAACATGGGCCAGTTCTTTTTAAATAGGGTTTCTGGTGATTTAAATTCATTAAAAGTCATACATTTTTTTTTTTTTTAAAGTTAAGGCCTTAATTGGCATCAAAAGTCATTAAATGTGATTATCATTGCATTTAAAATGCTTTATAAAAAAAAAACAAAAACAATTTTGTCAGATATATCCGATAAAACTGGTTCCACATGCTTGCGCGGAACTGCTTCCGGTTGATCGCGAAGCCGTGTGCTTGGAAAAGAAGCTCGAGGCAGAGAAAAATGCTAGAGAATGGGAAAATGCTAATTTAAACAAAAGTGGCTGGAAAACGAGGAATCCAGGACATGGCTTTAGCCCGCCGACTGTAAAGATGGCGAAGGATTTTGCCGTGTTCTGCAGAGGTGACAAACTAGTGACAAACAGCTTTTAAATTTAAAGTATTTTGCTGATTGAGACCAGTTTGATGGTATTGTTGTGATTTTATAGTAAATTAGATTTAATTTTGCTCTCATAGCCTGTACTTTAGTGATCTTTAGACAGTAATTTAACAAAGATTTGGATAAATTCACATTGAAAAATCCTTTTTGGCTCATCGAACTGTCTTTTATGGTTTTATCTCTTTTCTTTCAGGCTGTGTATAAATGTCTGTTGGACAGAGTACCAGAGGAGCAGAAAGACACTAATGTTCAGTAAGTAGGACGCTTTATGTATTTGTGTTAAAGTACATGAGGATTTGAGTTAATGATTTATAGCTACTCCTACCTTCATTACCGTTGTCTTGTAATTAGTGTGCTTTAAAAAGAAATACATATTTTTTTTGTTATACAAAAATTATTTATTTTATTTTTTTTCTGTATCTGTGCTAGACTGGTTGATTGACTGACTTTAGTGATCTCAGTGGAAAAATGTACTTGTTACATCGACTCAAATAGTCAAAGAAGGAGAATGTGCCAAAGGAAGAAAACCAACAGAGGGGTGTAACAATTCAAGTTTTGTAAACGTAAACTGGAGTTTAAATTAAAAGCAGACATCTTTCCCATCTACAAATGGACAAAATGCTTCTCTTTGCAGCTTTTGTAAACGAGAAATTGTCACTGTTTTAGCTAAAACAGAGTCAATTGGGGTATCGACAGGTGAGTCCTCCAGCGTAGCCATGTTTGTAACGCCCCCGGCAACGTCCTTCTGACTGTCGTCATTCCTACATGTCCCGCCCAGAAAACCACTGCTGCTATGTCATTGCTCTGATGGACGGATTAGCATGAGTCTTTCAAGATGGATTTGCTGTGAGACTTAAAACTCAGATCTCACAGCAATCCAGCTTGCAGTACAAGGTTAGCGTAGCGCAGTATTGTTTAGAAATGTATGAATAACAGGTGAACAACAGTAGGTGTGTTTATGGCAACTACACAGAAATATACGGTAGAATAAAACGATGGGTTTACCTGCTGCACACAGAGAGAGATGTGATGATGCGGAAACCAACCTGCCTTAAAAGCCCATGTGAACCTTTTTGATTTTTAAATAACAGATATTAAAAAAAACATTTCACTAAAAAAAACAGAATTCATTATATACTATGGATCATTGTTTTAGACTTTATTTCTATTATATGTGATGGAAACAGAAACTAAAGTTCTTTTTACCTCAAGCTTGGCCAATAAATTCACCTCTGTTTGCTGTTTTCAGTCACTGAATAAACAATAACACTGAGTTTAACACAAACTGTTCCACTTGAAGCTTCTGAACGATTTGATGCCAGTATAGGCAAACTTGTGTGTGGAGAAAAACTTTACATCCTCCTATTTAGAAGGAGGTTAGCACACGCTGTCAGCGCCTGGTTACAAAATTCCAGGGTGTGCGAACTAGCGGCCAGGCTGCGCACGCAGACGGTTTCGTTTTTTATTTCATTGTTTTTATATTTTAGTTTTATTTTATTTATTCTTTTAGGACATAGTCAAATCAAGTTTATTAGTTTGAAAAAGTGTTTTTTGTTTTAGTGCTGCAAGAGGTAAAATGATAATCCCACATTGCACTGAAACTTGGATAGAAACCAAAAAAGTAAAACGTACTTTTTGCAACTTGCATATCTTTACACAAAGTTTGGATTGCATTTTTGTTTGCTTCCTCTGAGTAAAGACTTTAACAGCAGAGGTAACAGCTGCATCTTTTTATGGGTGTGCCACCACGACAGCCTTCTTTTTTTCTTTTAAGTGTCTCCTATCATCATAAGTTTGGGTTATTTTGATGAAGAATGGGTGAAGGTTTTAATCTTCAATCGGCGGCGCTGCTTTTAAGACACTCTGCTTTAAAGCTTCCTATAAACACCTCAAATACCGATTGTTTTCGATTCTTTCTTTTTGTTCATATAGGGTGTTGATGGTGTTGGGGGCAGGAAGGGGTCCCCTGGTTAATGCATCGCTGCGAGCTGCCAGACAGGCTGACCGAAAGCTGAGAGTATATGCTGTTGAGAAAAACCCCAACGCTGTCATAACGTGAGTACAGCTGCTTCAGTTCAGTGTGCTTGCCTATTGAAGGGGAATAGATGTTTGAGTGAAATGCCTTCTGTTGAGCAGGTTAGAGAACTGGCGCTTTGAGGAGTGGGGTGAGCAGGTGACCGTGGTGTCGTGTGACATGCGGGAATGGGAAGCACCAGAGAAAGCTGATATCATCGTCAGCGAGCTACTCGGATCATTTGGGGACAACGAGCTCTCCCCAGAGTGCTTGGACGGAGCGCAGCACTTCCTCAAAGGTACTAATACAGAGTCTTTCTGCAAAGCTCAGTGTCTCCACAGGATATACAAGAAGCCTTTATTCTACTCCATTACCTGCAACGCTTCCTTGGTTCATATATCATTTTCCTTTTCAATATAGATGATGGAGTCAGCATCCCCTGTTCCTACACGTCTTACCTGGCTCCTCTGTCTTCCTCCAAGCTATACAACGAAGTTCGCGGGTGCCGGGAACGTGACAAGGACCCAGAGTGCCATTTTGAGACACCATATGTTGTTCGACTCCATAACTTTCACCAGCTGGCTGAGCCTAAACCCTGCTTCACTTTTACACACCCCACAAAAGGTAGACATCCAGGAAATCATAGCAGCACTTCGTAATATGTTTATAGAGCAAGCCTACCAGTGATGGGTAGTATGTATTGTAATCACGATTTTTCTTCATCAAATCATTTAATGTTAACTATACACCATAACTTAGGAGTTTAAAAGCATTTTTTTGGCCATTTTTTAAGAAGCTTAGGCATTTTCTCTGACACATATTGAGTGAATTTCACATTAAAAAAAATTATGAAGACAAAAAGATTACGATCTCATACTCCTATTTGGAAATAAGCATTTTTTTTTTTATTCCATAATAAAACATCGCTCAGTCCTGTGAACAACCTAGTGGCAGCTAGAAGAGAAGGCTGCAAATTTACTCTCAACCAGCTGTACCGTTAACCTGATTCTGCCAGATGGATTTGCTCCGCATATCCATCTGGAAACCTTCCGTTGAAGTAATTTTGGGAAGGGGCGAAAATACTGGTTAGCTGATTGGCCTATGGTGGTGATAGACGGGCCAAATAAACCAATCAGATTAACGAAGCATATGACGTACTAACAGAACAACGACGAAAACACAACCACAAGCCAGGCTACTCTTGCCGAAACCAGTCGGGAGAAGAGCAAAAACATCTTTTCCTCTGAGAAAAGCTTCCAGAGCAGTGTTTTGCTCTTCTTTCAGTGAAGAAATACTGATAAAACTTGCTCGATAGCCACGCTAATGCTAGTTTCATCGGCTTTAGACTGAACTATCGCGCTTCTCGTTGCGTCACACCTCAACCCGCCTCAAAGCCAACGCTGATTGGACGTTCGTTTGGTGAACGGCTCCAAATTTTCTTTAACTGAGAGTCTCCAGACTGATCTGCGAGTGAAACCTTGAAAGCTCGCGAGATCAGGGTGGTCTCACGAGGCTACTGTACCGTCCTCTTAATCTTTAAAACCAGTAACCATTTAGTCAAAGCAACATCTTTTTGTTTAAGTAAGAGGAAAATGTAACATAATAGCATAGAACTAGAATGCATAGACTGTTCATTAAAGATTACCACTGTTTATCCAGCTTGAGATGTTAAGTCTTTACAATCTTAACACACAGCCCATCCCTAACTTGCTCAGTATTTTTATTTTTTGATGTCTTGAAAAAGGCCCTGGACTATTGACGTGCATTTCAAAGTTTATTAATGAATAACCTTTTGTTCTTTCAGACATGAATAATAACCGTTACCAGTGTCTTCGGTTCTCTGTGGATTGTAACTCTGTGCTCCATGGCTTTGCTGGCTACTTTGAGACCACTCTCTACAAAGATGTCACACTTAGTAAGTTGACGGAGTAACGAGGAAGTAATACATAATTCATAAGCTTTAGCTGATTAATTTGTTTGTTGCAGGTATAAAACCAGACACGCATTCACCTGGAATGTTCTCCTGGTTTCCCATTCTGTTCCCACTCAAAGTAAGTCATTTCCATCCATAATCAAAATGCAGACATTTTGATCTCCAGACTAAACATTGTTTGGGTTTCTGACAGCAACCCATCTCCATATCCCGGGACGATGACGTCACTGTTCGATTCTGGCGCTTGAACAACGGGAAGAAGGTTTGGTATGAATGGGCTGTGACGGAGCCCTCCTGCTCTGCCATCCACAACCCAGCTGGCCGCTCCTATACCATCGGGCTGTAAACATCAAGAATCCTCAGACCTGTTAGACATTTACTTCTGTTTTTTTAGTTGGACTCTGTGGTTATTTGCACCTTCTTTTTATATACCCAAAAATAAAATGTGGATTTGTCCCACTTTGAATTTGTAGAGGAGGAATGGCTCGTCATCTTTCAGATCAGCAGCCCTCACTAGTTTACTTGTTTGGGTCGTCCTCCATGCAGTTATGGACAGCAAGTGTGACCTATATTACATTTGATTCCAACGGGACCTTTGCCTTATCAAACACATTCCAGATGATCCATACAAATGTCCGCATAACATCGACACACCCTGTAACGTCAGGAAAGTTTCTCTTTTCAAGTCATCTATTTGGTGTATGCTCCTTGTTTGAACATTTTGAATTAAAAATAAAGCACTGTAATGTTCTGAGTCTCAGTTATTTTTTAGTATGGTGTTTAAATGTATTGAATTTGGATTTGCCAGTTAACAGTGAAGGATTTAATTGTTAGTAGGAAGCAACTAGTTAAATTTAGTCACTTTTACTTGAGTTAGTTTATAGGAAAATATGCCTTTGAGTACACTCTAAAAAAGAATATGCTGGTTCAACTTAAAAAACTTGATATAACAATTTGCGTAGATTTTTTTTTTAAGCTATTTCAATTAAGCCATAATTGAGTCAGTGCCACAAGATTTGTCTGGTTAGGCAAATTAATTTACTTTAGCAAAGGCGACATGATTTTCTTTGTTCTTTACAAATTTAATTAAGTTGAACCAACTTAATTTCCTTTAGTTATGGAATCGATTTATTTTCATTTGATTCTACTCAAAAATGTCCATGCAAATTGTTACCTCATTTTTTTGGCGTAATATTAACTTATTTATCTAAGTTAGAATAAATGCCACGTTCAAATTCCAGGCTTATGAATGGTTTATCCAAACATGGCTGCATATTGAAATTTTTAGCCCCCATAAAGGAAATGCTATCAAACAGGCCAGTAAAACTGTCTCATGCTGATCAGACTGATAAATTCTTTGTATTACTGAAACTGCAGTTTTTTTAACAATAGGTAAACTATAGCTGAACTCTAAATTACAAACATACACTTTGAACATCAAACATTCTTTATAGTATGTTATTGCAAACAACAGTGCAACAGGATGGTCTAACTCAGATTATTTTTAGTACAATAGTTTATTTTTTTAGTGACATTACCTTGGGACTAGCTTTCTGATCATCCAGCTTAAGGAGGATATTTTGAAATACTTCAAAAGTATTTTTGGGTAGCTGAGGTTATACCTACTAACCCCATGAATAATTTCTTTGAGTGTAGATTTACAGCATTGTACATCATACCATGTCGTATTACTGGAAGCAAATATTGATTTAATCATTTTTTTAACCAAAAAAAATTACTTGCTTGAGCTTGAGAAGCCCGTTTAAGAAATCCTTTTTAAAACTTTTTTTTTTTTTTACTCGAGTAAAAAATATGAAGTAGTGAAACTCTTGAGTACAATTTATTTGTGCTCCATCCACCTCCGTTTAAGAAAGTCAAAGAAACCCCATTGTACTAATAATAGCGGTGTACAAGCTGCAGGTGGCGCCCTAATAGTAGTTTTGTTTTACTAAACTCATCTAAGCTTTTTTATTTTTTATTTTATTAAAATGGTTCATCGAAGTAAGACAAACATGCTGTGCTGTATTAAAGATAGAAATGTATTCTATAAAAAAAAAATAGGTGTGGTTTATATAACTGCTACATTGAGTTAGCTTGTTTGTATGGAGGCGGATCCTTCTCCATTGGTCAGTCATGGTTTGCTGTTCCTGTGTCTCTTGTCCAATCAGAATTCATCATTAGTTTATTAAAAACAAATCTTTTTTAGAAAAAATTAAGAGCATTTATTTCAACCTTGTTGAGTCTTAAATTTAGACAAGTGAGAAAAGCACCATTATAGATTAGTGAACAAAGGTCACACTATTACATTTCAATAAGACAATAGATTTGGAGGCTCATTTAGTTATAGCAGCATCCTCATTTCTAGTCAGAAAAAAATAATTTATAGTTACTCAAGACATATCTGTTAAATATGTTCAATGTAATAAATGACAGCCATAAGATAAATAAATGGAAACATTTATACCCATATCTTTGATTCATGCTAAATCGATCATATACTTTGATTCAGCTGGTTTGGCTTAACAGTATAGAATTTTTATAACTTCAGCTTTTCTTACAAATTAAACCCGTAGTTCATCTTTGCATGAACTACACCACAGCAATAAAGCTGTGTGGAAGTAACTAATATAATGTGGTGCAGTTATTAGCACTACCTTCATGGAGCTGTAACTTGAGTAAAATTAGTTCTTCATTGACCTTATTAGGCTTTGATGCATTTTGCTGTTAGCTCTGCTGTAAAACAGCTTTAATTCTTCACACAAGAAAGAGAAAACAAGTGTGCTGCATATTTTCTGCTAAAGGCAGCAGTCCTTTAATTTGAAATTAAATATTTTTCATGATTTATACATCAAAGCATATGTCCCAAACCTTGATCTCTTCAGATTGATTTACAGTCTTGTACTTAGCTCTTTTACATCTTTTCTGATGCATTTAAATGTGTTCTAAATGCATTATTCACTTCCCTATCATAAAACAACACCTGAACACATTAAGGAGTAAAATCTACCTTGACATTGGTCTTAGTGATTTGTCAAGTTGTTGTTTTTCAATCCATGAGACATCTCTACCCTTTGTCATATTCAGATGAAAGTGACAATGTTAGAGAAAGTAACTACTAACCTTGAGGCTCTATCATGCAAAAGGAAAATGAATTTTCAGCAAAGTCACTGTGACCAAGATCTTTGCAAACTGAAGCATACCACGAAAAAAAAAAAAGGTATTTGGAAGCTAAACTCAAGCATGAATTAATTTAATATCTGATGACCACCTTAACATCATGCTTAAATATCTGCTGTTTTTCACCCATAGAACTGAAAAATGCTGTCAAGTCCAAACAGGAGAGCAGTGATGATTTAGAGAAGTTAAGTGAAACAAATACCACAAAAATGTAGCAATGAGTAACGAGTAAGCACTATTTTAGACTTTATTATCTAATGCTTACTCTGCAGATGCATTCTCTCCTGTATGACTAATGTCAGCGTCCCCTCTTTGAAGTGAGTTTAAAAAGGTTGAGGGTGACCTGAGCAGACATAAGTGTTACGGAAATGTATTGTTCAAGCTTGCACCTCTAATGTGGCAGGAGGCCAAAGAAGCCAAATATCTGAAAGCTAAAGAGGCTCAGATGGAAAATGGGCATGAAGAAACGGCAGACAGCCCCCTTTTTTTTTTAAACACCTCTATTTCATTACTATTAAGGAGGCCAAGTCAACTTTTTTGTTTTTAAAGCTTAAACATTCATCTGATCCCCTTTATAACTCTTCAGATCTTTATAAGCCTATAAAAGACACCAAAATATGAATGCTTCATCAAAAACCTGAAAAAAGAAAATGTATGCAAGGCAACCCCTGTGTAATTCACCACCTTGAGAACGAGCAGTTCTCTTCTAAACCGGGGGTTGTGGACAGCAAGTGTGACCTTTTACATTTGATTGCAACGGGATCTCTGCCTTATCAAACACATTCCAAATGATCTAACAAATGTCCAGATAACATCGACACACCCTGTAGCGTCAGGAAAGTTTCTCTTTTCAAGTCATATGTTTGGTGTATGTTCCTTGAACATAACATTTGAATTAAAATAATAAAGCTTTCTAATGTTCTCAGTCTGCAGTTATTTTTCAGTATGGAGTTTAAATGTATATTTTTTTATACAGCCTCAAATAAATTTGGATTTGCCGGTTAACAGTGAAGGATTTAGTTTTTAGTAGGCAGCAACTAGTTAAATTTAGTTACTTTTACTTGAGTTTCTTTTTGAAGACAATATCCCTTTGAGTAGATTTACAGCATTGTACATTATACCATTTCGTATTACTGGAAGTAACTACAACTATTCTAACCTTTATGCATAACACTGCAGATATTGATTTAATCATTTTTATAGCAAAAAAATAAAAAATTCACTTTCAAAAATTGTTTTGCACCAGAATTTGCATGGAGCTTTATGTTGTCAAACTCAACATAATTTTTAAATATTAAATGAACCCCAAAATATGAATGCTTCATCAAAAACCTGAAAAAAGAAAATGTATGCAAGGCAACCCCTGTGTAATTCACCACCTCTGGAACAAGCAGTTCTCCTCTAAACCAGAGGGTGGCAGCACTAATACCATCATGTGGAATGTAATTAGACATTTTAAAGTTAGTATATTAACCAAAAACTCACAACAAAAATAAATAGATGAATTATGCACAAAAATATAATACAATCTAAGAAGACTAATACAGAATCTATTCTCTTTGAAGAGTTTTCTATGTTTTATAGAGGAGAGTTTTTCTGTGTAGTCATCTAGGGGTCTTCTACATTGATAGAGATGCTTTGTTAGAATAACTTAAAAATGTTAATTAATTAATTAACCCATTTTTATTTACTCAATTGATCAATTACACAAAAGTGAGTAAAGTGACAATAACCTAATTTGGTTACTTTCTTCTAATGTATTATTTATGTGTTCATTTTATGTTATATTGTTAGTTTCAGTGAATGAATTACCTGCACTTAACAGTAATATTGAGTAAGAGGAACTTGATGTGATCAAATTAGTGATGAAGTTTATTTTATTATATTTAAGTAAAGAAAAAAAAACTCCTTACAACAGTTAATTTTGCCAACAAAATAAAGTTCTTAAGTTTGAGCACTCAAACCATAATATAAGGACAGTGCTTTTGAAGCCATCAAGGCCTCAGACAGCCTATCTGCTTTACCCATTAAATGCGTACATTATGGACCAAATGTCATTTTTTTAAAACACAGAATTGTAAATATGTTTGTAGCTTTATTAGCAAGGGCCTCAAGAAGATCTGATCAATTTTCAGTGATTTTGTTTAATGGAATATAGATGTTGTGCTTTTTTATTTTCCTGTTGGTTCATTGTGATCAGTATGCTGTAGTTTCACCTTCTGCTGCCTTTTAGTTTTGTGACCCCACATTTTCTG